ATGAGGCTACACTGGGAAGCCCCTTGGATGAGTGACTTTTGCTTAAAGTGTGGATTCCCCCAATTTTAGAAATTTCCCCTGATCCTCCTATAATGTGTAAGGTCATCCCAGCTCTGGGGAAGAGGCACATGCTTGGGTGCTGCATGCAAGGCTTGGGTGGGCCACCTGTGAGGTTAGATCAAATGAAGAGTCCTTGGGGCTGGTCTCACCAGGCAGAGCATTGTCCCCAGAGGGTGAAGGCGTGTGGCTGGGGTGGACAGCGTAACACCCTCGAGAGATCAGGAGCTTGGGCCAGTGCCAGAAGGCGGTAGAGAGGGTGAGAGCAGTGGGGCAGGGGCTGAGGGTCTCCGAGGTGAGCAGCTCACCACTTCCTGATGCCTGCCATGTGCTGAGGAGCAGCCTGGGAGCTGGTTGTGCAGGAAGCAGATGCTGCTCAGGGGCAGCAGTAACTTTGGTGTTTCCTTATCCGCCTGCTGTGAGTCAGAGCTGGGTCAGTAGCAGGAGACTGTGCTCGCGGACTCAGAGCCTGTGCAAGAGAAATGGTCAGCTGGAGTGGAGCAGCTGGAAGTCTTAAGTTGGCACTTGGTGCTTTTCATCCTCACTGACCAGCTGCACCATGGCTTATCTGATATTGAGCATGAATAAAGAGACCCAACTGAGAAAGTTCTTTTGGTGATTTGTTTCCTTAATATGCCTTTTTTAAAAGAAAAGTTTTTCATTTTATTTGTAAATTTATTAAAGTAATTCTCATCTTAGAAAAAAAATTTAAATATAGGAAAATTTAAAGAATTTTTAAAGATCCATATTCCTACTACTTAACTGGAGCCCTGGTGGCGCAGTAGTTAAGTGATACGGCTGCTAACCAAAAGGTTGGCACTTCAAGTCCACCTGCTGCTCCTTGGAAGCCCTATAGGGCAGTTCTACTCTGTCCTCTAGGGTCGATATAGGTCGGAATCAACCCGACAGCAACAGGTTTGGTTTTTTGGTTAACTACTTAATTAAAGGCAGCCCCTGAGACTGTTTGCATATTTCTTTTCGATGCCTTTTCTATGCGTACTATTTATATCGCAGAGATCATGATTTTGTAGATATAGCTAGATACAGGGATGTTGTTAGTTGCTGTCTAGTTAGTTTCTACTCATAGCGACCCCACGTGTGCAGAGTAAAACTGTTCCATAGGATTTTCAAGGCGGTGACCTTTTGGAAGTGGATTGCCAGGCCTGTCTTCCGAGGTGTCTCTGAATGTATTTGAACCGCCAACTTTTCAGCTGTTAGTCGAGTGCTTAACCATTTGTGCCACCCAGGGACTCCCTATACACATACACGCGCGCGCGCGCACACACACACACAGACACGCACGCACACACTATTTTATATTCTGCTTTTTTCACTTAATATAGCAAGCATCATTCCATATACCAAGCTCTTTGTAAACATGATTTCTTAATGGATGGTTAATATTTTATAACATGATTATAATGGTTTTCTTAACCATTCCACAATTGCTGAACATTTTAATTGTTTCCATATTTTACTATTATAAATAAATAATACTGCAATGAAACTAGCCCCTTTTTTGAGAGAGAGAGAGAGAGAGAGAGACGTGGACTTATCCATAACTGTTCCATTAAAATTCTCTAGAATTTTAAGAAAGTAAATTATATTAGTTACTGTTTATGACAACTCAATTTGTAAGACTGAACAAGTTCTACAAATTTACCTTATTTTATGGAATATGAATCCATTTCACTGCTTTGAAATATTACTAAGTTATAAAATTGTGGTATACTGTTGATCATGTATAGAATTAAATTATCCCTTGTTCGAAATTGTGCAACCTCCTATGATAACTCGCTTCCTCTGTGAACTATGATTTGCTTTGCAGTGGTCATCTTTGTGGCATGCTCTCCAGAAATATACTGAAGTTAAAAAAAATTGTACATGTACTGTCTGCAGTTCAGATATCCAGCCCATGTGCCCCTCTAATCTGCTGGTTAAAATTCTGGGATTACAGAGGTACCCCAACTATGATAGGGAATCTGGAGCAGAGGCTCTGAGACCTCAGCCCTGACCCGCTGTTGCTCTCACCCTCCTTCTCTCCCTGAATGATTTCATCCCCCCACTCACACACACCTTCTCCCAAAATGTCCATCATCATCAATCTGCTGATCTAGCTCCAGCTGATCTCTTTATCCAGATTCCTAGGCCCATGTTTCTAACTGCTCTTTGGACCTCCTGGGTCCTGGGTACCACAATCTCTACATGTCCACAGCTCAATACATCTTAACTCTAAACCCCTTCTTGGGTTTACCTATCTGAGCAGATGGCATCACCCATTGCCCAAGTATCCCAGATCTTCCTCCTCTCTCACCTCCCATATCCAAACAGTCACCAAGTCCTGACAGTTTCACCTTCTAAATCCCTGAGGCACATCCGTGTCTCTCTGTCCTCACTGCCATGACCCATGCCAGGTTACTTTTGCTTCTCCCCAGCCAGATGCCCAGCCTCCTCCCAGCACCTGGAGAGAGCTCTCTGAAGCCCTATGGTGAAAATGTCACTGCCCTTTGTAGATCCAAGTGTAGATCCCTGTTCTCCTTCAGATGAAGTCCAGTTCCCTCACCAAGGCCTTCATAGCTCCTTGTGATCCAACCATCACCTTACCTCTTGACTTCCTCCCCGCCTTCTCAGTCTCTGCTTACGGCACCACTGCCTTTCCTGAGCAAGCCCTCCTTTTTTGAGACCTTTGTCCCTGGACATCTCTTGTCTGCCTTTCTCACCTGGCTATGCTTCTAGTATTTTAGTTGTCATGTTAGACATCACCTATCACCTCCAGGGAGCCTTCTCTTAACCCCAAGACTTGGTGGGTGGTCCTCTTCTGTGTTCCCCAACCACCTTGGATTCCCTGGTGTCATAGCAGGTTCCATACTGTAGTGTAGTTATTTGTACTGTAGTGTAACTATTAGGTTTTCTGTGAGTATCATGCCTGCAGCACCTAGCACAGTGCCTCGTATAAACTAGGGAGATAATAAATATTGGCAGGAGGGAGAGAGAAATGAATGGAATGCCTCTGTTCTCTAACTGGAATGGCATGACATTTGGGTGCCTCAGAAATACCCGTCCTTTGACCAGGAAGGCTGATGTGGGAAGAGTAGTGAGTGAGCCATGGTAGGCAGAAGAGGAGGGGTGATGGCTGGGGCATGTGGAGGGTGATTAAGGTAGAAAGTTTCCAGGAGATGGAGAGTGGAATGAATAGAAATTTCCCAGATGTGCCCCAGGTGGAAAGCTTTGCGAAAAAAACAGCCTGGCCTCTCCCTTGGCCTGTCTCTCTCTCTTGGGGGCAGGATCTCACTGCTAAGTAGGGACTTGGGGTTGTTGTCAGCACAGACACCCAGTCTACAGCCTTCACTGAGCCCAGTCATGGCTGGTTGGGGCTGGAGAGAACTTCAGCCACCATCTAGTCTCCCTCCCCTGCTTAAACCACACCTGGGGAAACTAAGGTCCCCGGGGTGTGTGTGTGCACCTTGGACCAGGCCAATGACCTAGGGCTCCTGCCTCCAAACCCAGTGTTCTTTTAACATGTAACGTTGGCACTCTCAAGCATGGCACTCTGCTAGCCAGTGGAGAAACACCCAGGCATTGACTGGATCCTTAACTCCTAAACTTAATAAATAGGCTCACTACAGGCTTGATGAGTTCATCAGTAATCATTAAGTATTAATCACCCTACACAATGGCCCTCATCATTTCTGCAGAATCACTATCTCCATGCCTGGCTCTAAATCTCCCAGAAATCACCATCTAGATGGTGGAGTGGGAAAGACCCTGGACCAGGAGTCGGGACCTGGGCTGTCATCCTAGCTCAGCTTCTAAGCTCACGGTGAGCTGTCCACTCTTTTGCCTCAGCTTTCTCATTTGGAAAATAGAGATTATACTTAGTGGTCGCCTAGTTCTGTCATCCTGTTGCTCTGTAGTAAATGAGCAACCAATGCCTACTTGTCTACATTTTGGGTTTTCTGTGGGAAATTTTGAATCCCATACATGCCAGAACCCTTCCAGCGATTTATGTGTGACTGTCAGACTTTAGTCACACATCGACTCGACGGCAAAGAGTATCAGACTTTAACTTAAATCAAATTTCATCTCAAGCATAGAGTTAAGTATGCTACCCAGAAATTTTTAAATACATTCCAAAACTGAGTTCCAATGATATTTTGGATTCTTTTGTGAGTATTTTTTCCTCCACTGGCATGTACGGTTGGTGGCCTTTTATATGACCAAAACAGCAAAACAGTGTCGCTGGCATGTCCTCCAAAACTTCAGTCCGTGTAATGTTCCTTGAAATAGAGGGGGCCTCTGTAGACAAATCTATTTTGGAAATCCTGTGTTCCATATCTCCTCTAGGAAAGTCACGAAGTGCTTAACATATTAAACCTTAACATTTTAAGTGCTGTGTTCAAAGCACGTTATTTAAAATCATGAGCCCAGTATTTCCACAATGAAGGGTTTCAGGGACAAGTAAGCTTGGAAACACTAACATTGCATCTGTGTTCTCCAGACTTTGGAGGATGCTACTACACAGGTAAGGAGCTCTGGTGGTACAAACGGTTAAGGACTTGGTTGCTAATCAAAAGGTTGGAGGCTCAAACCCACCGAGTGGCTCTTGTGGGAGAAAGACCTGGTGATCTGCTCCCATAAAGATTACAATCAAGAAAACCCAATGAGGCAGTTCTAGTCTGTCACATGGAGTCACTGTGAGTCAAAATCAACTCACTGCACCTAACAACAACAACACTGTAGAGGTATCAAGTCAGATGCTTCACACCAATAACTTGGTGTTGTGGGTTCAAATCCAGGCTCCTGCTTTGCTTGCTGATGCCAGTCAGAACCCCTTCCCGTCTTTGCCATAGGTGTCACTGTAAAAATGAGAAGGTTGCTCTTAGCTTCCCCAGAGGACAGGGTAGGTTGGTACAGGAAGATGAGTAAAGAGTGCCCGAGATGAGGGAGTAACGGACTGTGTCACTTGCCTGTCTTCCAGAGGCAGGAGCTGGAGTCGGAGAACAAGAAGCTGAAGAATGACCTGAATGAGCTGAGGAAAGCTGTTGCTGACCAAGCCACACAGAACAACTCCACCCACAGCTCCCCAGACAGCTACAGCCTCCTGCTGAACCAGCTCAAGCTGGCC